TATCTTTCATCCTATTTTTTAACTGAGAAGAAAAATTCATTCCTTCAAAAAACACAAAAAAAATTCTTTAAAATTAATTGCAAATTGAATTGGTATCCTTTCAGAAATTGATGCCATGAGCTCTGTCCTGGAGGACAGGATGAGGATGACCTAGAGCTGAAAGTAGCCTTAAGTGAAATTACAGCCACTTGCCTAAGTGCTGATGGCACCCAGTCAGGCCCAAGGAACACTGACACCCCAAGGCTGGGCAGCACAGGGAATTACCCAGGGACAGGGAGGCCAAAACCTCTCCATGATGTAATTAATGTCTAAAAAGCACCGGGAGAGGAAGTGAGAGGAAAAGAACATTTAGATCTGAGTAATTCCCAAAGGTGCATCTGAGCTCAGTGAGCAGATACATGTTTGATGTGTCAGACTGTTCTCTGGAACAAACTCTGCACATGCAAGATGGCTTTAAAGAACAGATTTCTGCCAGGCTGAAATGGAGCAGCTGAGTGTTCTCTGGGCTGTAACATGTTGAGCTGTACTCATCTGGCAGGCAAGGCTGGAATCTGATATGGCAGTGGTTTATATGGAAGAGAAATTAGCCAGGAACTCCACACTTGAAAGTCACTTATCCCAGGAAAACACCTAACATTTTTAACTGGCATAACCACTTTGCTTCAAATGAGATGCAAGTTTTCAAGAAGATCTTTAACTTTAAGCTTGAAAATGTTTACTCTAAGCATTTATTCAGAAATTTTGTACTCACTGTCCAAAAGCAAGTTCAGAGATTAATTAGGATAGCATAATCTTGCTTTACTAACAGCCAAAAGAGAATACAACATAACTTTCATTATGGCATAGTATTTCAGTCAAGAGATGAGATGAAAAAACTTCACCCCACCTTCAAGATCCAATCATAGCACATCAAGAGGAAATTCTTCAGTAATTTAAGTTCAGATGTACTGGGCTCCACTTGGGTTTTCAGTTTTTTTTTTGAGTGTTGGCACTGACTGTGTGCACATGCAGGGGTGTCTCATAACAAACAGTTACCACAACAGACTACTTCAGCTGGAAGCTACTCCAGCAACCACCCAGCCCAACCTCCTGGCCAGCTCAGGGCTGGCAAAAGTTAAAGCAGGGTGTTGAGGGCAGCATTGTCCAAATGCCTCTGATAGACTTGGCAGCCTTGGGGCATTGTGGCTGATATTTAATGAATTTAGAAGTTCATTTGATGAGAAGGTATTCGCTTATCTGTCCATTTCATTGAGCTTCACCTGGATCACAGTAAAAACATTACTGAACATAAAGCTGAATATGTTGCTTATATTAGAAGTAGAGCTCTTTCCACTGGAAGGATAGGTTTTTCCAATATGATAAAAGAAATACACTATCACAACAAACAAACAGCATATACTTGCATCTACAGTTCATGGATTAGGAATATACATTCAATTATCTAAACTTGGGTGTGGAAAAAGAAAAAAAAAGAAGTAATAAGTTTACTTGCTTTCTATAGTTGCTCATTAAATCACTCTAACACATCTTACACATCATGGGGACATACAGTTTGTCAGCAGCAATTAGAGACTGATGGACACCTGCTGCAATGCAGATCCAACAGCACACAAACCCACAGCATGGATATTCTGAAAGTTCTGGAAAAACTTCAGAAGATGCTAGAGCGATAAACCAAGAAAATATGCATACTTTCTTTCAGAAGCCAGCTTGAAGTATCGATTCAAATATAATGAAATTTCAGTAAATGTTACCTTTCTAGGACTGAACAGCAGATCAATTATTTTTCACAATAGCCAAGCTTTAGTCACTTCAAGCAAAAATTTTCTACTCCAACCCAACAGTTTGTTTGTTTTTTTATCCTGCTTATAGACCAGACACTCGTCAGCCTCTCAGATCTCTGGAGAGTTGTGGTTTAAGGGAACCCAGGAGGAAAAGACAAATTTGGAAAGCCATTTATCCATCTCACTAGAATTGAGACATTATGGTTTTCATTCTTCTCCCACTCCCAAAAATACCAAATTTCCATCATCAGAGCTCTGTGAATAAACGAACATTTTGTTACTGGCCTCAGGAAGAAAGAAACCACAGGCCTGGTAGGGACAGAGAGGAGAGCAGGGCACTGTGTGCTTGGGACCCTGTTTATTTGACTAGATTGCAGACAGTCAACCCAAGAACATGCAGATCATATATTTTTAAGCATTTCATAATGGCTTATTATTAATTCCAGCCAAAACCACCAAGACCAAAATTATCTGAAATTGGTGCTTGTGTGTCCTGACCCCAAAGCCAACAATGGTTGCATAAAAAAAAAAAAAAAAGTTAAATATCTACAGTCCTCTCAGGTTTAATTTTTTTTTAATCAATTGCAAGGCAGTGCCCTTTAAGAGCCTAGAGAGAAGACAGGTCTCCACAACTAACAAACTGAAATGTGGTTCTGGGTAAATTTTACTTCCAGGAAACCAAAATGTTGCAGTCCTTGAGAGAGGGAGGCTATAAGCAGAGGGCTCTTCTAAAGGAAGGAGCTTTTATTGAACCTGTCACTTGTCATTAAACACTCCATATTTTACCTTAACCTGATATTTTCATTAGAGCATACAGACCTTTTTCATCTGTGAATAAAAGCATTCCCTTCAGCCTTGAGCTGAATATGGGGAAAGGCTCTCTAAAATAGAGCCCACCCAAACAGGACAATTATGTTCTCAAAAGCAGGAAAAGCACTAGGGAAAATCAAGTAACATTAATACTGTGATAACTTGCACACTTCAATGTTTACTATCACATCACACTTCACTCTTACATTATTTATTAATACATTTAATAATGTTGATTTTTAGTGTAAAAAAAAACTTGCATAAAATTATATAGAAAGCAAAGACACCAGTGCAGAATAAAACAAAACATAAGCAAACTGCAAAAAAGTATGTACTGCCCTACAGAGATCTCTAGTGGGAAAACCTGAATAGGAAAAGGTAAAGATATCCATGCTATTCATATTTTTGTATCTATGATCTCTCAACTGCTTAAAATACTTTATAAGTAAAGAACTGGATAAGAAATTGCAAGGGAAGCTATACATTCTTAAAGAAGTCTGATATAAAGCAGCACCGTTTTTTTCTGAGCAAAAGCTACCTCACTGCTACCACCAAAGCTGTACCATCTCCCTGATGCACCAGAAACTGATGTTAATTAGTTTTAGCAGAACTTAAAGTTCTTAATAACTGTAATATCACTCTCTGTTCATTGCCATGTAGTACAAACATTTTACACAATTTATTGTTTCTTAAAAGAAAAAAAAAAGTGGTTTCAGTATGCAAATAGAGGCTGAGAGAAAACAAATTTCAGGCTTTTTTCAGTGTATTACATATGTGAAGAAGATAGAAAAATGAAAAGGGAAAGAAAAGAATAATTGGGGGCAGAGAGCCAGAAAAGGAAGCCATCCCTTTTAAAATCTTGAAGTCCTACATAAAAACAAAAATGATGTTCTGATGGAATGGTGTCATTCAATAAACACACCACTCACGTAATTGCAAAGCAAATGTGAAGCACCAGCTGTCTTTTCAGACTTGATATACAGATTTACTCAAATGCAGATAAGGAATCTAACCAAATATTGTAGTAGTTTTAGGAATTTTCAAAGACATTTCACTAATACCAGGAGGACTGTGTTATTCAAACATAGCTGCCACATAACGAGAGCCTTGTGAATTGCCATAGCACTACAGCCACAAAACCCATTAGGAGATGTAGAAATCCCACATTCCTGCCTTTTATAAAGGTCTGCAGTTATGAAATCATTTTCATACACTTGGAACTTAACTATTTCATTGCCCAGCACATACAGGACTGGAACTGATGGAGAAAATCACAAAAAGGTGCATCTGAGAGCATTCCATGGACATGTGCTGCTGTGGTTCTTTCAAAGTTTTAGCTGAAAAAATCCCCTCAGCATCCCACAGAGCAAAGTAAAGGAATATGTCTGAAATAAGGAAAGAACTTATCTTTACTAGAGAACCCTTAGGATGTATTCTGTGTCTTCATTGTAGATGCATTAAGATATGTGGCTGATAAAAAGAAACAGGATTTAACCTAGGATAATAAAGGAAAACAAAGAAAGGCTTGCTCTTTAAAGATTAACAGAATGAAAGACTACAAGGTAGGGTGCAGTTTCCATGTTTATTTTCACTCACCAAAAAGAAAGTTATTTTTGTAAATTAAAGAAAACACAGTCAAAATGTCTATTATCTCCACACTTAGCATCATGGTATCTTTGCTGTACTCCATGCCAGTAGTTTAATATTTTTATGACAGCGATTGAAAACTTACCATTTGATAAACCTCCTGCAGCTAATCTCAACACACAGCACACTGAGAAATATTTGACTTGCTTTTATACCAGTGACTTCCTTATGCCTGGGCAGATTTGAGGTAACCAGATAACTCTGTGGGGCAGCAGCACGATCATTTCAGAAATAAAGCCAACTGACCAGAAAGCACATCAAGAATTCATGAAGTAAACAAGGATGACTACGATAGAAAACGTGGTCCTCCAGTCACCTCACAGTAACTCCAGCTTTCTCTAAGAATACTTACTTGCTTATCTTTCATTTACTTGAAGAAAGGACACCAGTATAAGGTAAAACCAGCTGGGAAAATAGACAAAACAGCTAAAGAAAAAGGCTGTTAGAGAAACAGAGAAGAAAGAAATGTCACACCCAATCTCAATATGGAATTCATATAATTATTTCAACGATGCACTTCATAACCAAGTTGACAGTTAAAAGTACGTTTTGCTCTTAGGAAAATTGAGGAAGATACGAAGGCAACTGAGAGAGGCTGCTTTCTTTAAAATGCTGTAGGATAGATGTGTCTTTTCAAACAATCAGGAACAAAGTTGTTAGGTAACAGCTATGAAAACAACAGATCAGGAGGCAGAGCAGAAACCCAAGCAGCTCAGCCTGGCTCATTATCCCAACTGCATTAATCAATTCCCATGTTACCTGAAGCTGTTGGGAGCTGTCATTAAGGTTATCCTCTCGTCTTCTGGCCTCCTCCAGCATCTGTGCACTCTTCTTTTTCTCCACTTGTTCTTTGTGCTTCAGATTTGCTACTTTCTTATTTTGATCTTTAACTTGCCTGCAAAAGAGAGGAGCACTCAGAGCGTGGTCCAGAGCAGTCTCCATCAGTGCTGAGCAGCTGGGCCAGGGAACAGTGGCACCATCAAGTGCCACAAGGTCACCAGCACCAAACTCATCCTCAAGCATTACCCTCCATTAATTCAGCCAAAAGAAGGCTTCATTTTGGTCATTACTATTGACCTAACCTAGAAAATTTCTGAACAAAAGCATTATTTATTGTTTGGTAATTATAAGTTGATTAATAAACTGTTAATCAAAAGATGCACCTGTCCTCTTCTGACTTTGGGGAAGAAAACTCTTCTCTGTTCACACACACAAACGTACATATAAAACCACAGAAATCTAATAACCCATTTTGCTTTGGGTACCACTGTATCTAATGTGAGGAAAACAGGAGAAGCACAAGGAGAACTATTGAAACATGACTTGAATATAGAGGCTTACTTACAAGAATTAGGGAGTCAGTTTCCAGAGGTACAACACTTTCTTTTCAACCTCAAGATCTACCTGTTTTCTTGACATTTTGAGGAATTTCCTATCCTTTCATTTTACATAAGAAAGACACAACAAGCAAGAGCAAACTATTTGAGAAAGTGTGCATAATTTCCTTTTCACTTGCATCTATGGACTATTTTTGATGACCCTGGCAGCTACCACTGCCTGCAGACAGGGTTTGGCCTCTCAGGGCATTAAGACACACGGAGTATTGAATCTAATTACAGACCCTTTAATCTCAGCCTCCTGACCACAGAGAACTTAAGTCTAAACTTTTAGTCCAATCAAAACAAAACAGGCTAACTTTGCTTCCTCAGCCTTTTTCTCCATAATTATATCTGGAGTTTGGATTTTGGAATAAAAGACAGATTCTTTGGTTGCAAGATTTCCCCAAAACATCATGCAAGTAGTAGAGACGGCTCTTTAATTTACTGTTTAGAAAACAGAATGATATACCAGCTTCAGATCTGGTATGTTATCCACACAGACAGGGAAGAATGTTTCTTCTGTATTTCAGAAATACTTTTAGAACAGATCACAAACAACACTTCTTTAATATTTTCTTCAGAACTCCTAACAAAAGTATGATCAAGAACGTATCTCTTTGCGATATATTTATGTTCAAATTACGTGGCATATGACCAGTCAGTGTTTTGAGTTCCTCCAAAAACACTCTGAGCTCTGAGGTTCAACTCTGAGCTCTGATTTTTTCCAATGTAAGCCAACTGAGGCTGGGAAAATCGTGAAAACAGCAACTTTTCCTTGGTGCTAAAACAAACTCTTAGGGTGAAAAAGTGCTGATGGCCTCTGGAGACCAATAAAAAATGAAAGTTCTTTTCTGATGATGTTAAAAAATTATTGGCATACTTAACTACCCTGTCCAAGAGTTACAGCTGATTTGAGTCAGGATGCTTTTTAAACACCACCAGTGTAATTGTTGAGTTATTCTAACCCAGTGCTGCACACTGGCAATGGGCTCATTGCCCAGTTTGAAAGCAGACTTGCTCAGTGATTAAACAACTTATTGGAAATATTATGCTGGCACCAACTCAGCTTGTACAATACACAGTTCTATCTGTCCAATAAAATAAACACAAAAAGTACAGCTAAGTCGGCACAGAAAATGAAAATATGTCAGCCCAACACATTCAATTCCATATGAGAATTTTTACTCAACTTTTAAATTAAAATTAGAGGAATTAAGTATTTTTTAATCAATTTGCAAAGCTAGATTCACCTATTGAGAAACTGATCTTTATTACTATAACCAACTAGTTAGGTAAGAGACAACAATATTAATAAAGCCCCAACCCTCTTCAAAATACATCTGAAATAGATAATCTCTTACACGGTCCAAAATGTTTTCAAACAAAATGTATTTCAAAGAGATGGGTAATTATAAGGATATGTACTATTGACATTAATTTTGGTGTGAACCAAAATCAATGACATGCTAATATATTAGGTAGATGTTTTGAGACAAAAACAAGCTTTACTAAAGTTAAGTCTTGAAATTACCTAGTGCTTGTAATACTGAGGTCAGTCTTCATAAAATCTTCTACTAGACCAGGTTGCTTAAAGCTTCATTTAACCTGGCTTTGAATCATGTGCAAGATACAACTATCCCTCTGAATCTCTGATGTCAGAAAGGAACCAAAGTTGGGCTATAAACATTTCAAACCATACAGGTATCTGTGGCAGTGACTAGAACTTCCCCAACTGTTTAATTGTATAAATCTGGGAAGGTTACGTGAGAGCCCAAATCCATAAACCTAAAAAGGCTTGGAGTCATTTGATACATGAATACACATTTCATCTCATCTTAATGCCCGTGGTACCAAATGAAAATTCTCACTTTTGCAATACCTCATGCAGAAAATCATGCAAAAGGTTCAGCATTTACAAGTCCACAGCCCTTTGATGGTTGCACCATAAAACTTCTGTGAAGCTCTGAAGACTTCACACTGTGGCTCTGTAAAGAATGCTCTTCCTTCTCTGCCAAATAACTTTAGGTCATCAAAGCCAGTCAGAGAATTTTCTTTTTATATATGCAAACAATCTTTTAAAATATTTAAATACGTACTCATATTTTTAATATCAACAGACCTCAAAAGCTTGCTCATTAGGTATCACCCCATTCACTGTTCAATAACTCAGTTCTGTTGCTATTTTAAACACTGCAGTACTACTGATGATTGTTATAGAACAATTTCATCTTCATACCACCACTGAACAATGTGCAGAATTGGACCACATACTGAACTGGAACAATAAAATAAAATACAGAAAGTACGTGACTTAAGTGAGCATGCTGCAACTGGTACATTTTATGAGGAGACAGTCAAGAGGAAATTTTTTCATAATATATGTGCACAAGTAAGCTTATTAGGAAAAAAGAAACACAAAGAAACAAACAAAGCTCTGCAACTGCCTCAGTTTGAGAGCCTCATTTTGTAAGCTTAATGTTCTTTTAACTCTTTTGAATGAACCGCACCTATACAGAGCACACATCCTATCAAAAGGACAGCAAAGTTTTGAAAAAAAATCTTTAATCTCTAAGAGTATTTTTATTAAAACTGCAAAAACGTGCATGAGATTAAAGATAGGAAAAAGATAATGACTTCTATACAATGATGGCAAGACCGTAGAGGTTTAAGAATGTTTTCTAGAAAGCACCACTCTCTGCATGTACAACAACAGCGAACAGCAACTTGCAACGTGCATGTGGGCTTCTCATCACAAAATATAAAGCTAATGAACTTCTCAGAGATACGGTGCATTAAATATTACCATAAATACACATTCCTACAGAAACATCTTTGCAGAAGAGGATTACAAAAGAGAGAAAGAATTCTGGTGGTTCTAATTAAAGCTGGAGAGCCAGGTCACATTCACTGAGATAAAGCTTTGAAGAAGATACCAACTGGAACCAGCAGAAATAACAAAACTAACAAAAGCAAAAGTCCCTCACCTCAGAAGATGTTTAGTCTCAGAGTCACCTCAAATCAAGTCACAAAAATATTATAGTCACATATAAAAGAAGAAAAATTTAATGAGAATGTTTATGTTGAATTACAGTGAAGAATCCCACTCATTTTGAAAATAACAATTTCTTTTGCACTTTTAATAGCAATTTTAAGATATCTTTTTTGAGAGTCCATCTCCTAAAACATTTTGTCCTCAAAACTGAAAACTCTTTCCCATTATTTTGAATTTTTCTCCATTTCACAGTATATCACGCCAAGTACTGTTACAGACTAATGAATTAGATAAAAGGAAGTGGAATCAAATTCAGGCTTCTGATTTAAAAATACAAACCCCAAAGTCTTTCAACTAAAGACAGGCCAAGATTTTCAGAATAAAACGTTTCATATCCTTTGATTTTGGGTGTCCAATTTAGTCCACATGCCTCATGAAAAAATCCCCAAGGATTTCTTAATCTGGACACTGACACCAACTGTTCATATCTATGCTTTACTCTTTCTTTAATGAAAGAGTAAACCTCTCTAAAAAAGCCACACCTTTCCACTTCTCTATGAAATACTTGCATTTCCAGTGATGAAATATAGCCCAACACCATGGGGAATAAAGCTGAACAATCACAATAAGCAATAAAAAATTTCAAATGAGAAGATTTCACATTTTAAAATTATTTCAAAACAGGAAGACAAATATAAACAATAGAAGATCAGTGGAACATCAGGCATTCCTGAAAAGTGGCAAGTTCTGTTACCTATTAGTCATTGGGAAAACCTTTCCTCACTAAGAGACCAATTGCTACATAAGCCATTTTTTAAAGGCTTCTATGAAATTATTTTTTCTGTATTAATGTCAATATTTTTTTCATTTTGACAGTGAGCTCATTATCTTTTACTGTAATGCCTGTCAGCACACATACAGCTGCTAATTCTCTCCTCACATGGATCTCCATGCTATGCATTAATGTAATGTAAGCTATTATCTGCATCTGGTTATCTTCTCTGACATAATTTCAGATGTTATTCTTGTAAAATAGAAGTTGATCAAATGTTAACTGAAAATATGAATATGTTAATTTTAATATTATATTTTAAAATACTTCACATTTACATGGCTAACACACAAGGGTGTTTTTAGAACAATACAGGTTAAGCAAACATTTAGAATGCTTTTTAACCACCACAAAAGCTTCCCTGCAGTATAAAGTGTACACATACATGCTGAATTTCACACGATGACTCACTCACCAGGAACAAACATGCACATCTTGTGCACTGCTATAGAAACAGCTTGTTTTACTCATCTGACTTAGGCACTCAGAAATATTTCCATGTGTCTGTCAGCCATGTCAGAAGGATTGCTGAGCCCAAGCCTTCATTGCTGTAGCATTACCACCACCCACAGGACACTGCACTGCTGCTGCAGCTACTAATCCTGATGGACAGATGAATTTCAGATGCTTTAAAGAACACTTTGCTCCTCAACATGACTTAAACTGATAAAATAGTCAACATGACTGAAAAA